TGAAAATATCATGCCATTTTCTGTAATAATTATTATATTATTTTATCTAACTATATTGTTATTTCACATAATATCGTATTTTTAAACACATGCGATTAAAATATCATTATGTCAATTTTACAAATTTCGTCAATATTATGTTATTCCGACAAACAAATGGTAAAATACTTTATACAAATAGTTTGAATGGTCTAAAAATGAAATTTCTTCAATTTATATTTTTTTAAAACGGCTAGCTAGAAACTTTTGTTTTTTTTTTTATGGTCAAGTAAATTATCAGTTATGCTGCTTTTAAAAAATTTCAGATAGTCCTCCCCAAACTTCCACACTGTAAGATTTTTGTTTTTCATTTTGATTTATTAACCCTTTTTTATATTTCTGATTTGGTGAACCAAAAAATATAATGAAGAGTTTATAGAACTTCCACCTACACATCAACAATGGACCTCGTCTTAATTAGACTGTTAGCTATTATTGCTAACCCAAAAGCTGTTTTCATCAAACATCGTTATTGCATGGAATTTCTCTTTTATTTTTTCTTGATTTGTTTGATTCTCTTTTGTTTTCTCATTATACAAATCTTATTCCTTCATTGCTACAACTGTCTAGTTTTCTTAATTTAATATGTGACCAAGAAAAAAAAACCAAAAAACTCCCGAACGTGAGACGTTTAAAAAAAAACCCACTTATTCATTGCAACTTGCAAGTAATATTTATTCATTTTTAGTAAGATTTTGGTTTATTTTTCCGTTTTTGAGTGTTTTAGTTTATTAAAAATGGTTAATTGCATGAATAACCAAAAAAAAATTAATAACTAAAAAAATAGCAAAAATTAGCATATGTGGCAAAATACTAAACATTAGATTTAGGTCAATTGGTTAGGAATTTTATTATAATTTTTTTTTATAGTTATTAGATGCTATTTCCCTATTAAAAAATATGTTTGTTGTTAAAGTAAAAATTCAAAATTAAATATAGTTTGATTCAATTTCCGTATAAGAGCTTCTTTCATACTTCTCTTAAAATGTAAGAGTTGTTTTCTATTCGGATTTACTTCATTTTTTTCTAGATTTAAGTTTTGCTCTGGTTTTGTATCATAATATTTTGAAAATTTTCAAAAAATGCCATTTTTAAGTGTTATTTTACAAAAATGCCACATTTTTGAAATTTTTACAAAAATTTCATTTTTCAAAATTATTTTTTTTTTATATTATTTATGTTTGGGTTAATTATGTTTTATTAGGGGTTAGTTATGAGGGTTTAGGGAGGGTTTCGGGGTCTAAACATTTTTAATGTTTACAATTTTAAGATATAGGGTTCAAAAATCTATAATTAGTGACATTTTTACAAATGAACACCTCCAAGTGGCACGGTCGAAGCGTAGCAAGCAAATGAAAGATCAAAAAAGGGAGCAAAAAACGAGTTTTTATTTTGCAAATGTGCACATAAAAAGTGGCATCATTGCAATTTTTTTTAATATTTTGGATATAAAATATAAAATAATTTAATTAAATTCAGATCTAATTTTACCATTTAAATTATTTTATTTTTAATGAGCTGGCGTATAGATCTATGAGATGTATCTAC